TCTTTACAATCTTCGCACTCCATATATAGACTAACATATTTGCGCTGTTGCCCCCAACCACACTTGGAGTGGGTTGTTTCCGTAGGTGGATTTTTGACACGGGTCTTGCCCGTGTTGAGATTGCGCTGGAACCCCCATTCCCTATACTACTTGGGTAAATTGGACATGCCGGAGTACGCTTAGTACAATATTGTTGCTTGGGCAGTGTCAAAAATCCATTTTGTAATCCTTATCATGTGATAAAGAACGATAAATGGTACACACTTCTCTTTATAGAATCAAGAGAAAAAATCACCAAGATACGTTCATCAAATCAAGAACCCGCATTAACGATGGATTATGGCACAAAGTTTTGATTCGAAGGTGATTGCACACTGATATTATAATCCTACTAGCTACTAATCAAGCGTATATAAGTGTTATATATATTCATATATCCATTCATCTAATTTCTGTAGGACTTTGTCAACATTATTTGTCCAAATCGATAGTGGTACTCCAAGAAAGAAGTTAGTTGATAGATTTTTCTTACGATTCCACCCAGGGGAAATGCTTCTCGGTGAGTAAGCTGACTTTTAGTGTCAATGATATAAAATTGAAGAATGCTTTTAATGAATTATTAATGTTATTTGTGTTAGGTGGATTCCCATCCCAGGCTGCACTGATAAAAGGAAGTAATTGGCCAACTTTTCAAGGCAGTATCAGAGAACTCATGATTGGTGGAAAGAGGGTTGACATCAAGAATGAAGTCTCGAGTCAAATAAAAGCACGGCTATATCGTACTTCCAGCATTCATTAATGTTTAACATAAATGCTTTAACAAAATTAACTAATGTCAAATATAAGAATAACAATATATTACATTTAAAATAGTATATCATTCAAGCATTTATTTATATTGCTTGACAAAAATTAGAAAATATTATTGATTATTAAATTTTCTGAATATCAATTTTTTTTATTTTTGATCATCCATGATTTGTCGATATTCATCTTGATTCTTCAACATTTGATGGTAGACTTTATACTTCTTGTCATGAAAGCTAGAGGAGAAAGAGAACAACTACAAGTATATGTGTTGATATAGATTTGTGCTTTGGGACACATGGATGCTGCATCATTTCTTACAACTATAAGTGTAAACTAGGGATGTGGGTCAGGGATCAGGGGGCAACCAAATACAAAACACCAGCCAAACCCTTATGCTAAGGTGAAATACACAAAGATAATTTATAGATGTTAATAGATCCAAAAGGCAGGTAAGTGATAGAACAAAGACTCACCTTTTAAATCTGTCATCAGGGAGATATATATCACCTATGGCAGTCATTTTCTTCATAGCCTCCTATAATAGAAAAATAGAAAGAAATCAGTAACTGTTGATTTTTTGTTTGTTATTGTTAAAAAGAGCACACCGCATACAGACCTGGATAGTTCCATAATGACCAGATGCACATGCACCAAGAATTGCTGCTCCCAAAAGAATGGACTCACTTTCTCGTGGTAGAACACATGGCATTCCTTTACGTGTTGAATGATAAAGATTTGAATCAGTTGGTTAAAGAAGATACTCTCATAAACACTCCTGCTGATCAACAATAATATTACCTGTTATATCTGCATGTGTTTGTACAAAGAGTGAGTTTTTACTCAGTCCACCACAAAGGAATAGTGTGTTAATGTCATGACCAGATGCATTCATACTTTGAACAATATGACGTGTTCCATGCTAAATGAAATAGAATCATACCTTAATCAAGCAAGCATCACTATTTTACCTTCTACCTCATTTATATTACAAAGACAATTATGGACAATCGTGGATTTACTCACAGCAAGAGCCTGCATTGTTGCAACATACAAGACAGCTAAGTTTTCAATGTCACAAGTCAATGATAGCCCACAAATCTGTTCAAAAGTAATATTATGAGGAAAGAGGAATGCAAAGTAACAGAAAGACATGATGTTTTAAACCTTTCCTCACCATTCCCTTTAAGTTAGGATCAGCAATAGGCGACCTGTTGCCATGGAAATCAGGAAAAACATGGAAGTGTTGTGCAAGAAAGGCAGGATTCATCAGCCCCTTCTGATTACTAAGATGGATGACCACCCTATTAAGCTCTTCATATGTTGATGTACCCCTACAACATAACACATAGCTAGAATCAACATGGCTCCTTACATGGAACTGCTCTTCAATATTTTAATTATTTTTATTATTATTATTATCGTTATTATTATGATGATAAAATAATTGACATTTATTCTTATTATTAGCTTTCCTTTCTTCATTTCTTCATGTTGGGAGTCTGACATAATTTTTGCTCATTCCGTTGCTTGTAGACTTGCCAGTTGGGGTGATGTCAGGCTCTCAGCATGTGATAATTCTATATTTTACACATAAACTGTAAGAGCATTGAGATGTCAAGTAATGCTCGTTTGAGAATAAAATTTTTATTATTATCTTTATTTACAATTTCCTTCAATTTTGCTTACAAAATTCTTAGTTTAGTTTATTATTATTATCATTATAGAAAGTGAACAAGCTACAAAAAATTTCCAATTATTTTATCTTTATATTTCAGTAATTGATGGGGTGGGGGTTGGGGCACAGGAGACTGCAGAGCCAAAAGAAAGTTATAAAAATTATAATTATGACAGATAAAAAACCAATCGTTAATTTTTAACAATAAACCAAATTGAATTATATATATTTGCCACAAAAAATATGCCAAAAAGAGTTGAGTAAAAATCAACAGCTGTGCGAGTATTTTATTTTTCTTAGAACTATAATTTTTCCATTACCATATACATTTGATTTGCATTTAAATTTGAAGATATGTATAGAGCGTTTTCACTCATGTGAGAAGGCAGCCATAAACAATAGAAACTTTCTGCACAGTATTTGCATAAAAATAGAGTTCATATCCCGGAGGATAGAAAATGTATTGTTTTGGTGCCCCATAATGGCCGCTGTGACGTCATGTGAAAATGCTCTATAGCTGAAATTATAGAAACACAGCTTTTGCAATATTTCAGTTACTAGATATCTTACTTTGTTTTTGCAAATTCCTGTACTTCCCTGTATGCTGGGTGGTTTTCTACTAAGTGATCGATCTTGACAAACAAAGGAAATGTGGCTGTTTATAAAAAAAAACTACTGGACATTACAATTATCAACACATTACAATCTGACAATTTATCACCAGTTTTCCAGTTGCACTTTGACCTCCCTCATTCAACCAAAGGCCTGGCACCATAGCAGAATAATATGGTCCCCATACTCCTTTAACAAACATAGGCTTCTCACTGATCTATTCAATATAGGATAAATAAATAACATTATTAATACTAGTAGTACAAGACCTGCTCACAATTTTCAAAACTCAAAAAAAAAAGCTTACTGCCATGTGACATGTAGATGTTCCACAGACCAGAGCCAGACGATTTGTGATTGGCTGGTTTTCACATGGCAAACCACTGCCACTTGCATCAGCTCCAATAACTCCTACAACACCATTGTACATCATCAGTCTGTCAAAATAGATTATTCATCTCTCCCTGCCTTTTCCTTACCACCACAATCTATGATATTTTACTCAGAAATTCATTCAACATTTAACTACTAAATTACCAACTCCTCCTGCATGTGCGTCTATGAGAGAACAGCCTACAGGACAGCCTTCCCATAATCCCATTTGCTCTGCTGCTATTTTTGTCAAGCCTTGACCCAGATGCTCACCAGGCTCTGCTGCTTTTACACCTTCAAGAAAAATATCCTGTTGTATATCATCATCATCAAGTGCCATTGTAATTATAGACCTTTTTTTTGGTTCCTAAACACTTACAGACTCATTTACTCAGGGTTACCCATGTTTCAGCATCAAAATATACACATACCAATCATCAGGTCATCATCCGGTAAAGTAAAGAAGTGGTAGTATCTGTAATTTTTGTCTTACGTCTTGCCAAATTATAATATTAATTTCATATGCAACCATTTATATGTAACCGTTTTATTATCTATTTCAAAATTATCATAAATGAAGTTTGTAATAAATAGATAAATAAAGAAATCATAAAGTAAAGAAAACACAACCTCAACAATGCAAACACTTTGAAATTCCATTGACCTTAACTAGAACATGTGAATATTCTACACAACTCTAAGTTAACCCTGTGCACAACAGAATTCAGGACTGGAGGTATTATCACATGATTAATACTTACATAAATAGATACAGTACCTAGCTTTGAATACCCACACAAAGGCAGCTCTTCAAGCCCAATTTTTTCCCAATATGAGTCTATCCAACCGGATGTTGTTCCTTGAACCAAAAAATGAAAATATCCCTGCTCACACTCACTTATGCCCAGAACAATAATGACAAAGCAAATGCTTACATACCTGCTGGTTTTTGTGTTTCATGGCCCATGTAATTGAATTTACAAACTAATGAACACATGGATCTAAAGACACATATAACATGAATAGGAAAATAGCATTAAATGCGATGGGAAAGTGGGCAATAAAATGATTATACCTTGTTAACTGATCAGTTGCTTTGTAGGTCAAGTACTCTGGTAGATCTAAGAACACAGATGTTTCATTCCAACAAACACGTGGAAGATTTTCTCTTAGCCAAAGAAGTTTTGCTGCTTGCATCTCTGGTGACAGAGCTCCACCAACATACCTAAGGACTTCATGGCCTGTGTTGTTAATGAGTTCTGCCTGAATTTTTGGAAAGACAATCACTCATTTTTAGAAGTTGCAAAAAACATCCCTTTCTCGAATGGGTTGTTAGTATACCTGCTTGATCGCTCGATGATCCAGCCACATAATAATATTCCTATTGGGATCTTGAAATTTATTAACTGGGACTCCATCACCATTAGAGTTCAAAGCAACCAATGAACATGTTGCGTCAAATCCCATTCCATGGACAGTTTTTTTGTCTTTGATCTTATCAGAAATACTCTATAATATATTAGTTAAAGAAAAGGTGTTAAAGCACGCAGAACTAATCGAAAAAGCCTTTAGGTACTTAATATAGATTAAGAAATACCTTGACAACTTCACACACGTTTGTCCAGATCTCCTTTGACGACTGTTCATAATAATCTGATCCATAATGCCATATTTGAAGAGGTCGGCTACAGTAATCAATAAGGCGCCCATTACTTGACACAAGACCAGCTCGTACACTAGACGTCCCGACATCTACTCCAATATAATACGAATCCATCATAAATACATAGGATACAACCTGGCCGTGTAAGCCTGCAGTGGAGTGCAGTTTGAATCTTGCTAGTGTGCCGCCATGTTTGTTGTGACGGAACATCCGGGAATTGCGTTTCTTCTGGCCACCGCAGGACAGAAGAAACGCAGGCTCTGGGTACGAGATTGCCCTGCGATCGAGAAGGGGTTGGCACGTTCCACCAACGTCTGGTGGCCCCACGTCTGGTGGCCCCACGCACCTCTGGTGGCCCCTGTCCCATTTTCTCCGCGGCAATACAACCTGTGATTACGAAACTTGGCAGGGATGTAGTCACGTGCCCTGTCAGTCACCCCAACGATTTTGGGTGTATGACGTCACATATCACGTGACTTGCTAAGATAACATTATCGCCAGTTTTTGAAATAAACCTTTTTTTGACGTTATTGCACT